TACTACTAGCGTGGCACTTGTTACTACTAGTAAGGCACCTGTTACTAGGCACATTGCTTCTCACATTCCCAACTTTGGATTACACTTTTGCACCGGATTTCTGCCCCGAGGTGAGGCGGGGCCCTACTCCTGCGTCCCTTGGGGTCGTGTCACCGGGTGAAAACAATTTGCCTGACAGAGGATGCAGTTCTCTGCAAGTGCCCAACATATTTTCTCTTTAAAGGGGATGCAGAGCCAGGAAGGAAAGAAAGAAACGGAAGAAAGAAAGGAGGGAAGAAGGTCTAGTGTAAAGACAAAGGAAACGACAGCAAGCAAAAGGAACAAGCTTTTGGCATTTCATACTAGTTCAGCCTTGGCTTGGCGGCTTTTTGCACTTGAGAAGTTCGGCGCGTGAGCCATCAGTGCATCGGTGCAAGCCAGATATAGCAAGAAGAGTCAAGCGAGCAAATCTGTGAAAATCAAACAAAGCAAATTCTGCTTTGAGATGGTTTGATTCTGCCTGTTCTCCTGCTTGCCTGATCAAAATTAAGCACCCCATCCAAAGGGAAGTGTGGGACATGCATGACTTCAGTTCCGACTTGGAAAATATACACTAAGTCACTAAGACCTCAAAGTTGCGATGGTTCGTGTCGGAAGGAAGAGACAAGCAAGACTATGCATAAAAATGGATGGGCTACCCTTGCTGTTGCTACCCTTGCTGTTGGCGGCTTCCAGCCTCTTTGGGTTTGCCATCAAACACAAATGAACATATCACGGCCATGCCGAGGAGGAAAGTGTTGAAGCTTCAAGAAAGGGTATAGACTGAACAGCAATCATATTTGGGAGTTTGACCACTGGAGTTTTGTGAACATGGCCTGGCCACGCCCAGGGCTCAGATGGGAAGCAATGGATCCAATTCCGCAACTTTTGCATGTTCATTCCCGAATTGCCCGTGCTTGCTTGCCTTCTTGTCTTCCTTCCATTAAGAAATAGTAAGAATCAGAGCAAGGACTTCTTGTGAGCGTGACTTTCCTGAGCCCAGCAAGAGAAGAGGTGTTCGGTGAAGGCCGTAAGTTGTGGTGCAACGGACTTCGGCAGATCAACCACGTGAAGCCCGTAGTCTCGGAACTGCGACTGTGTTGTGGGTCTTGTTCAGTGGGAGAAACCCCTGATCTAACCAGAGACGTGAGTCCAATCCCGAAACGACTGCACTTGTTTGAGCAGTTGTGCCTGTTTATGGAAACGTCTGGAGACATTGGAGACGGTTGCCATGTCCTCCCCGTAACGAGTAGTAATGTTGTTCGTTGAGTCCTTCTTACAAACAAGCTCCAGCACCCCATGGCATGCCATGGGGCATCGCATAACGGTGTGAGCTTCACACCGACAAGTTATTAGATATTAGGGTGGAGGCCATCGCACCAGAGTAATCAATCTTTTGCTGAGCTTGGAACAGAAGAACAAGGCTGAGCGTCAAGAGCAGCCTCTCAGTCTCATCACCCTGTTTTTCTCTTTTTTCTCAGGCGGGACCACTCTGGTTTTGGCTCTCACAGCTGCGAACTTGGCATGTTGCAAGTAAAGCAATCTGAGCAAGCCACGTAGCAACTTGTAAATGAGGCTCCGGCCATTACCTTCCTCCAGCGGCAAGGCAAGTTATTTCCTTCTATCGAGTTTTCAAAAGCGCCAAGGAAAGTGAACAAGTGGCTGAACCTTGGAAGGTTCTTTGCAGCTGAGAGCCCTTCCACGAGAGAGACCCAGAGACATGTTTGAAGTCTCACATTGCAGTAAAGTTCTCAATGTGCACAAGTTGAAGGTCAAGCGAACTTCCAGACCCTCAAGAGGCCTGCCAAGATCTTAGCAAACAGTGTTGTCCACGATGTTCTTGGTTATGCTTGAACAGAGCCTTTGCATCATTTTGTTCAGGCAGCATGGAATAACAGGAAGTGATGTGAAGCCTTGCTGAAAGATGCTACCTCACCTCAGGTCTTTGATGGGCTTGATGACTTGGAGGCTGGAGAGAGTCAGCAAGTTCAGATGACACAGCAAGTTGACAGAAGGAAAACAGGATTGAAACACGCTGGTCTTGCAGAAACTTCCAGTTTTACACAACCTCGAATGACTAAAGGGGCTTTGACCTGGAATCTTCTGGAAGCTTTAGGGTGAGCTCCACCGAGCAGGAAGAAGAAGAGGTGGAAGACTCGACACTCGGTACAGTGCCAAAGGACATGGCAGACCATTCGCAGAATGGATTCATCGGTGAGTTGGATTGTGACTGGGATGGTTTTACAAGTTGGTAGATGTCATGTCTGTCATTTTTCGTGAAACTCCAGTCACCATAGTGCCATAGGAGAAAGTCACAGGGACTCGGGACTCGCGAATGACGAATGTATGGCAATGTGTCCTTTCGAGCGCAGGAACAGTCGATGGTACCACGACCCCTTGGCACTGGAATTCAAATGCTGGAAGAGCTCTATGGCAAGCATAGGCTTCTGGAAGCGATATTCAACACACTCTTTGTGTGTGTGTGTTTTTTGCGAAACACATGAATTGCTGTGTGGCACGGCTGTGTGATGCTTTGGGAATGGACTTGATTATTTTTCCAGAACTTAGCACAGCTGGGCAGGGGGTGCAAAGAGCCACCCGAGATGAATGAGGAGGTTCCATAAATGCAAACTAGGGGTGACAGGTGTCCTTCACAAGCGAGCGAGCCGTGTTTGATCTCTTTTTTGGATGTGCTGTTTTCCCCAAATGCATCAATGCTGTATGGTGGCTGTTGGACCACCCGGCACTTGCTGCGACCGGTATTTGTGGATGTTTGGTACCAAGTGTTCCGAACAAGCGAACAGTCTCCGTGCAAAAAACACACCAGGACCTAGAAGATCTCCATGCTGTTGACTCAGCTCCCGAAATGTGCTTGCGTAGGCTTTTCCAATCTCAATCAAATATGTGTTTTTGAGGCTTCTGACTTTGAAAGGTCCTTGTAAAGTTTACATGCCAGTGAAATTTATGTTTGAAGTACTTGTGTGTGTGTGTTTTCTTTTTGTGGCCAGAGACACGCGAAAGTTCTGGGGCAACACGCTGGAATTGAGACAAAAGTCATCCCTGCCATACCTCGCGTGAAGCTCAAGTAAAGCATTGGGTTGGCAATGATATTGTTGCAAGTGCAAAAAATAATCGGCATATGTGATGTGCGAAGAAAGCATGGCCGTTTCAGTGAAAATGAATGTTTCCTTGTTGTGCTATGTTGTGCTTTGGTGCGTAGAAGGTAGAACAGTCTTTTTCCCCAGATTGCGAAGCTATGGGGTTCTTACTTCAAATAGCAATGAGTTGCCCGTGCGCGCTTTCGCGACAGGTTGCTGGTGCTGGGTGCCGGTGCTGGCGCTGGTGCTGTGAGCTGGCTGTGCACGTGGTGGAGTGCTGGTGCTGTGAGCTGGCTGCGTACGTGGTGGAGACAGGTTGCTGGTGCTGGTGCTGGGTGCCAGTGCTGGTGCTGGGTGCCGCCGGTGCTGGTGCTGTGAGCTGGCTGTGCACGTGGAGATAGGTTGCTGGTGCTGGTGGCGGGTGCCGGCGCTGGTGCTGGTGCTGTGAGCTGGCTGTGCACGTGGTGGAGACAGGTCCCTGGTGCTGGTGCCGGGTGCCGGTGCTGGTGCTGGTGCTGGGTGCTGGCAGTGCGCGTGGTAGAGACAGCGGGCGCCGGTGCCGGTGCTGTGAGCTGACAGTGCGCGTGGTGGAGACCGGGCGCCGGTGCTGGGTGCTGGCTGCGCGCGTGGTGGAGACTGCTGGGCGCCGGGTGCTGGTGCTGGGTGCTATACCGGTGCTCGGTGCTGGTGCCTGCTTCTGACAGTGAAGTGATAACAATCTCCGCTTCTGACAGTGAAGGGTAACAAACCGCCGCTTGCAGCAGTGAAGGGCGACCAAGCGCCGCTTCTGACAATGAAGTGCCAGCCGTCATGGGCCGCATGAACTTATGCACGCAACATCATACGGTGTTGTCGCTTGAGCGTTCTTTGCTATGAGCGCTGTGGGGTATTTAAACTCTTCAGGTTCTGTTTTGGCCGACAGCTGTGTCAGGTACTGTTTGCGCGCATACTTTTGTACGTATAATGTTCTATGCGCAACGCCAGGCTCTCAACCGACCATTGTTTCAGCATGTTTCAGCCTACTACACACATGCACACACACAATAGTCGCGCTGGATGCTGCTTGGCCTTGGGCGAGTGAAGCCTACGGGCTTTGCTGCCGTTTGTGCGCACACTTTTGTGCGCATAAACTTATACGCGCAAGATCATATGGCCTTATCGTTCTGCAGATCGTTGCTTCAAGCATGCTGCACATTCAATAGTGGCGCTGGATACTGCTTGGGTTTGGGCCAATGACACTTACGGGCTTTGCTGTTTGCCCGCATACTTTTTTGCGCATACACTTATACGCGCAAGATCATACGTTGTTATTACTATTCCCCAAATAGGGACACTTATATGGGGTTCTTGCTGCAAATAAGAATGAGCTGGCTGCGCGCAATTTCGGGGTGTCGGTGCTGGTGCTGTTGGTTGTGGTCCTGGGTGCTGGTGCTTTGAGGTCGGTGAGCGGCGAGCGCGCGTTTAAGACGGGCGGCGGCGCTGATCGGGCGCTGGCGCCGCTGCCGGTGTTGTCAGCTGGCAAAGCGCGCCAGCGCTGGTGTCAGCTGATTGCGCGCGCTGTGGAGGTGCCGCAAGCTGGTTGTGCAGGTTGCGTACATTCTTGTTCCAGCCAGTCGCATGTCACGTCAACAGGTCATGGGATTCTGCCTAGCTATCTGGGTCTATGCTGGTGTAATTAATTCTATTGGAGGCCATTGCTTTCTTGTTTGCTTTCAAAATCAGCATCTCAGACCTTAGGCAATGCTCAAAGAGGAGCTCCCCAGGCAAGGCTCAGGCGGCTCAGGTTCCGTTTCAGTGATCAGCTGGCCTTGCATTTCAGGTGTCCGTCGATCTCATCGGTCGCGTGGGTGGCCAAAGTGCTGGAAGACTTGGAATTAGAGGAGACATATACTAACATCAAACATCAGAACCGGATTTTGGATTGTGCGTTTTGAAATGATGTTTGATGTTAAACATGTTAGCTGGTGTGTGTGTGTGCGTGTTGTATTCTTCAAGCAGTAGCTTCTCCAGGATGACGACGTTTTTGAAGTCATAGCGTCACAAGTGAAAGACCGCGTTGACGAATTGGAGCCGCAGGAGATACTAGAAAGATTTAGAAACGCAAAAGAACTCAAAAGGTGGAGTCAAAGTCACCTGTGCGCAATTTGACAGACGGATTCTGTCAGGAGACGTTGGACATTGTGCTGAGGTTCTACTTCACACCATTCAAGTCATTGTTTTGCAAACGGATTTGCAAAGGGTTTCAGCCATAACTAGTACTAGTATGGCGCAATCTGATAAAAAAATTGTATGTTTGACACTGCTCTTTGAATGGATGCTATTTGGATCTATTCGTGGCAGTTTTGGTGCCATCTACTTCAACGATGATGAGTCGCTTTGCTGCAGTTGAGTGCGCAGAAAAAGGGCCAGAAAAGGACCCTGGCACTGTCAAATTGATGAAACTGTGACGCTGGAACTCGCTCATGCGATGCGTCTTTCTAAGGCTCCTGGAGGCCTTGGCAGGTGCTGTTCGGCGACAGCTTCACTTCTTTACCAACGCTGAGGCAAAGGGACAACTTTGAAGAAAGGTCCAAAGGTCCAAACACTAAAGGAAGAGAAAAGGTCTCCAGTGGAGTCTCCAGGTTCTTAGATTCTTGAAACAAATCTTTTCAACCATCATGCTCTCCCCTGTCGAAGAAAGATGTCCACCCAGGTTGTCCGCTTGGCGAATGCCATGTCGCGCTTGGGAGGGCTGGATTCGTCCAAGCACGTAGGAAGGGACCGGATGGGACCGGGATGGGTTCACAAGAGGCATCGCGCCAGGAGCCCCTAGTAGCGTCCATACTCCTAATAGCGATGCCCTTGGTTCCTAGTAGCTTCTTGCTCCTAGTAGTAAGG